GTGTGCGATAGACTTACCTCCACGTGGTGCATCCTGGGCAACGTATATTCATACGGCAAAAAGTCTGTTGACTTCTCACTTCAAACAACCATCACCTCACTCTATGCCATTTTCGAATATTTCACAGTACTCACCTCACCTTTGTTCTACCTTTGTGTTTGTCTCTTACATCTTTGAAACACTCTTCTATTCCCCCCCCCCCTCGACTTTTTTTTCCACTTTGATGTTCCTTCCCCTCTGTGAAGCCTGAAGTCAACTAAAGGGCTAATGATAACCATCAAGACCCCTGCCATTTGATATAAATAAATAAATGATGACTACATAAGTATTGGAGAGTAAGTGCAAAGTGAGCGCTTCAATTGGTAGTTTTGGCAGACATAGATGTTAATAAAACTTTATTCTAAGAAAGATCTACTTCGTGACCCGTTCAGAGACCATAAAAAACATATATGTGCATCCATAGCAGAAGGTATAATTGCTTACCCGTGGTACCTGCTTAAAATGGGACTCAGTCGAGAGATCTCAAACATGGCTAATTCATGAGCGAAGTACCTCATATCGATTATTATATACCATAAATACACATACATACACATAGAATCACATAATTCGGAGTAGGACGAGGGATGGATGGAGTAAAGTTCAATTCACTTTTAGGGGAGTCAAATTAAGAAGAAAAATTGCTATTTGAGAGGGGGAGAGAGAGAGAGAGAGCAAGGAGGTATCATAGCTTGTGCGTCCAACTATCACAGAGAAAAAGTTTCCTCAAAGTGGAGTATCAGGCAGACAGGCGTCATCTGTACATATCGGATCAGCGCCAAAGGGAAGAAGGAGGGGGTGGTTGGGGAGAGAATGCCATGGCAGCAGCCATTTCTGCAGAGGCAGCAGCGGCACCTACATTTCGAGTTGAATATCGTCGTAAAATCGACGCGGGGGGCTGTGGATCATAAGGGGAGAGAGGAGCACCCGTCGATGGATGGAAGGTAATTGAAGAAGCTGGTGGTGGCTGTGGCTGAGGTGGCAAATCAATGAAGAAGTTCCCACCCGCATTTCCTCGGTAGAATAGCGCTGAAAGCGACGTAGAAGAGGTTAAAATGACTGACACGAGTTTTAAACGATTAACAGACAATAAAAAATACAGACCGAACACGATAAACATCAGAATTGCACTAAAGTATGGGCACTCAAATTGAAATGTAGAAAAACATCGGGGCGGTGGGGGGGAATTAATCATTGCAAATCTTAGACAGGTGAATTTTTTTTTGAAAAGACCAAGCCAATAGCAAGAGAGCTTTCAATACCAATAAAATCATTAGAAGAGAGAAATGGTTTTTACCGGGGTGTATTGTCCCGTAGATACGTTATGACCAAAGCCTTTTTTTATTAATGTCGAAAGACGCCATTTCAGGCATCTAGAACAGATAATTTTACTTGACAAAAAGTGGCAAGTTGGAATAGCAGGCGCGTTTGAACAACGTAGCTTTGCTATTCAACCAAAGGTCCACTGAATAGATAAAGTCAACTACATGACAATATAAAAAGTAATATTGTGCACTTCATGATTAAAGGAGTTTGAATCTCTTGAACTCGGAGCATGAACATTGGCCACTCACAACTGATAGTAGAAATAGAGAGATAGCGAGTAACACTTAATAGCAAACAGATCACCATGACTAAGAAATCCAAGCTTTTCCAAGGCATTTGACTGCCTTTTAAATACCTTAAATGCTACATTAGACGATTGACATTTTTGTGTCAGACGTCATTATTAAGATAATTGCCTGATGATGAATCTCGTCGCAGAAGCAATGCACAGTCATCACCGATGTCAGAAGAGAGGGCTGGGGGTGTGAAGGGAGCCACCGGCCATAATTCAGTCAACCAACTTTCCCTCCCCAACACTACTACTCATCGATTATACGCGCAGGTCCGTCTCGCATGCACGCGGGCGAGCGAGCGAGCGAGCGTACGACGACCCAACATAGCGCAGGCACGTCGTCGCCGTCGTCGTCCCATGCACAAATGACGTCAATGCAAATTTAATGCTAGTGGTAGCTAACGCACAGTGAACGAGCGCGAGTGTGAACAAACTGGGGTTTGAGATACTGCTGTGTTATGCATCAATTGCCTTTTTCTCCATCTCTGCATTCAAGCGCACTCACTACTACTACTACTCACTAACTTAAATGGAGACCTGCTTAACTAGATATCTATACCGATATAGAATATTTATTTAAATAGGGGTGTGCAATAGACTTACCTCCACGTGGTGCACCCTGGGCAACGTATACTCATACGGCAAAAAAGTCTATTAACCGGCAGTTGACTTCAAACTACCAAGGCCCCACTGGATGACATATTCGACCACTTCCACAGTATTAAATCACAAATTTTCTAAATTTTCAACCTTCGTCTTTGAAACACTCTTCAGCTCCCCTCCTCTCGACTTTTTTTTCGATTTGATGTTCCTTCCCCTCTGTGAAGCCTGAAGTCAACTAAAGGGTTAATGATAATCATCAAAAACGCCTGCCATTTGATATAAATACTTATTCATTTAAAGAAGTTACTCAAATTAGTATTATGTACGTGTGCGATTAGGAAGTCAAGTAAGGAAGCAATGCGCGTTTCTGTATCCAGCTTACGATAATGGACCAGAGACTTGTAGGTATATAATGACAAATTCGTTATCCC